TCTGCTGGAGGCGAGCCGGGTCAGGGCAGCCCCAGGGACCCAAGAGCTGATAGAAGGGAAGAAGGTGGACACCCCCCCAGGCACAGACGCCGGGCACCTCCCCAACTTGCCAGAGCTCCCCCTGAGCCTTCCCTGGCCCCGCTTGCCATTTGCAGCTGCCCCCAGCACCTCCCCTGAAGCCTGTCCCGTAGCCCCAGGCCGCCCCCAATCCCTGTCGTGAAGGTGGCAAGCTGGCCCTCGAATGTCCTTGATTCTCCCTTAACATGGTTGCTGTTAGCAGCAGTGCAGGGAAGGAGCGGCGTCTCCAGAAGCCGGGGGTCTGGCCAGAGGTGATTTACAGTAGTACCGGTCGCTGCTTCTTCTTTCCTTCTCCCAGAGGCCACACTGGAATGCGGTTGTCCGTTCCTCCCCCAGGGATGCCATTGACTGCACCCGCCTCAGGCTTGTGTGGGTTGTCTCTGCCCAGCCTCGCTCTCCTCGCAGCGTTCGGGCGAAGGACAGGTGGAGCACTTACCGGCTGTGGACAAGAGCTGCCGTGTCTGAAGCTGAAGAGGCCAGAGAAAGGTAAAGAAGAAGAAATGGAAGGCCATCCGGCCGGCAGCTGCCTCCTGCTGCAGGCAAGAGAGAACTTGCCTCTCCAGGTGAAGAAGGATCCTTCTTTGTAGTCTGCAGCAGGTCAGACTGCCAACGTGCATCGCAGGATCTGTATATGTCACCAGCAGCATACGTGGGTACGGCCACATAGTGCACGAGTGAGCGAGGCTATGTGTCTAGGAAGCTTGTCATTTTGTAAGAGCTGTAAGACACCCACGTGTTCTCTTAGGTGGAGGACAGCCAAGCGACCGGAGTTACAGAAGAGGAAGGGAGGAGAGAAGGAGAAAGAAATGTCTGAACTGGCAAATTCTCCCAGCAGCACCAAGAGCGAGAGCTGCGGTGAGTCCTGGGCCCTCCCTGTCCCCCCCCGTCCCCCTGTCTTTCCCACACTGCTGTGATGGTTTTTTGCTTCCCTGTACCTCTTCTCCCTATTCTGTCCTGCTCCCTCTTCCCCTCTCCCTTTCTTTCTCCTGTTGTCCTGCTCCCTTTTTTTTTCTCTCAGCGCTTTTCTCCGGCTCCCTCTCCCTCCTTTTTTTCCATCGTCTGTCTCTGTCCTGTAGCCCATCACTCTTTTTTCCTTTTCCATCTCTTTGTCTTGCTCCCTGTCCTTGTCTCTCCTTCCCTTTGTTCTGCCTCCTGTCCTTTTTTCCTTTCTTGCTCCATCTCTCTGTCCTGCTCCCTATCCCACCCCCACCTCTCTCTCTCTGTTTCTCTGTCCTTCTCCTTGCCTTCCTCCTTATTTCTGTCTTGTTCTCTCTTTGGTTTTTTGGTTCTCTGTCACTCTGTCCGCCCCCCTGTCACTGTTTTTTCCCCCTCAATCTCTGTCCTGCTCCCTGTCACTTATTTTTTGCCTGTCTTTCACTTTGTCTTGCCTCCCTGTCCCTTTTTTCTCTCTGTATCACCTTGTCTTGCTCCCTGTCCCTGTCTTTCTCTTACAATCTGCGTCCTGCTCCTTGTCCTTCTTTTCCCCCTATCATCCCTCATCCTTCTTCCTGCCTTTCTTTTTTCTCTTTCTATCCTTCTGCCCCAATGCTTCTTTCTCCACCTCTGTCCTGCTCCCTGCCCCTTGTTTCCTCACACCATCCCCTCCCTGCCCTTGTTTCCTCTCACTGTCCCTTTGTCCTGCTTCCTGTCTTTCTTTTTTCTGTCTTTACTTCTCTGTCCTGCTGCCTGTCCAGTCGTTTCTTGCTATACCTCCCTGTCCAGCTGGCTCTCCCTTTTTTCCTCTCTCTCATCCTCTGCCCTGCTTCCTGGCCCTTTTTTCTCTTCCTCTGTCTCTGTCCTCTAGCCCATTGCTGGTTTTTTTTTTTTCCTTTTCCTTCTTGGTTTCTTTGTACAGATCTGACCCTTTCTTTATTTCTCAATCCCTTTGTCCTGTTCCCTGTCCTTTTTCTCTCTCTGTCTGTGTCCTGTGCCCTGTCACTGTCTTTGATCCTTCTTTCTTCTTCCTCTCCTCCCCCCCAATCTGTCTATCCCTCTGTCCTGCTCACTGACCCTACATTTTCTTGCTCTATCTCTCTGCAGGGCTCCTCATCCCTATTTTTCTTGATTTCTCTATCTCTCTGACCTTTTCTTTTGACCTTTCTTTCTCTCTCTGCTCCTCGGTCTTCTCCCTTGTCTTATTTTTCTCTTTCTAGTCCTCTGTCCTGCTCCCCATCACTGTATTTTTTCTTCATATCTCTGCCCCGCTCACCATCCCTCTTTCTTTCTCTGTACCTCTGTGCTGCTCCCCGTCCCTCCCTTCCTCTCTCCCTCTCTCACTCTGTCGTTATCCTTGCGTCCCTCGTTGTCTCTCCATCCCTCTGTCCTGCTCCCCATCCCTAATTTTCCTTTTCCATTTCTCTGTCCTGCTTTTGGTCCCTGTTTTTCCTCTGGCTCCATCTCCCCGTCATTCTCCCTGTTGCTCTCGCTTGCTCTCTATCCCGATGTCCTGCTCCCCATCCCTGTTTTTCTCTGTATCCCATTTTCTTGCTCCCTGTCCTCCACTTGTTTTCTGTATCCCTCTCTCCTTCCTCCTGTCCTTCCTTCCCCCTGCGCCCCTGCTCTGGCCTGCTGCTTGTCACTGTTTTTTCTTTCTCCTGCTCTCTGTCCAAGCTGTGTCACTCTCCTTCTCTCTCTGTCCCTCTGTCCTTCCTCCAACCTGTATTTCCCTCTCTCTATCCCTCTGCCCCTAATGCTTCTTCCTCCACCTCTTGGTCCTGTTCCCTGCCGCTTTTTTCCTCGCTGTCCATCTGTCCTCCTTCCTGTCCCTGGTTATTCTGCCTTTATCGCTCTGTCCCACTGCCTGTCTCATTGTTTCTAGTTATATCCTCCTGTCCAGCCAGCTGTCCCTTTTTTCCTTTCTCTCTTCCCTACTCTGACCCTGCTTTTTCTTCCTTTGTCTCTGTCCAGCAGCCCCTCAGCAGTTTTTTTTTCCCTTCTCTATCTTTTTGTTTTAATCTGCATCTGTCCCTCCCCCTGATCCCCAGTCCCTCTGTCCTGTTCCTTGCCCTGCTTTTGGTCTCTTCGTGTCCTGCACTATATCCCCATCTTTCTCTCTGTCTCCCTCCTTACTTTTCCCTCCTCCTTTTCACCTGCATCCCTTTGTCCTGTTGCTCATCAGTATTTTTTCCTCGCATTCCTCTGTCCTGCTCCCTGTCCCTTACT